ATATCTGAAATTTACTGTTATATGAAAAGCGGCCGTAATTTTAGTTCGATTTCAATAAGTTTCAACGTTTTGCTTCTATGTGGCAAGTACAATAACCACACCGAGTTTGGTACAAATTGGTAGAACGGTTACCGAGATACATATATGTGATCATAAGTGGGCGGTGCCACGCCCATTTTTCAAAATTGTATCCTAAACGTATTTCTTGGTAACGAATTGTTGCAAGCATCAATTTTGAATAAATTAGCTTCAATAATTACTGATTTATCGAAGATTTCGTATTTCTCTAAATTACCGTTATATGGGATTATTGTCCTATTTTAAAAATTTTCGGCCATTTCGTATGTTATACCAAGGTTAACAACTGTGCCAAGTTTGGAAGAAATTGGTGCAGCGGTTACCAAGATATACACATGTAAACATAACTGGGCGTGGCTACGCCCATTTTCCAAAAATTTATAATATTCTTATTTTTCGTCTAAAACTTATTGTAAATATCAATTTTGAGTGAATAATCTTCAGTAGTTACTAAAATATCGCAGTATTCGTATTTCTGAAAATTACCGTTATATGGGAGGTAGGCGTGGTTATTGTCCGATTTTGCCCATTTTCAACACCATCCGTCCTACGCCCGAAAGAAGTGCACATACCAAGTTTCGTTAAGATATCTCAATTTTTACTCGAGTTATCGTGTGCACAGACGGACAGACGGACGGACGGACGGACGGACGGACAGACAGTCACCGCTTAATCGATTTCTCTTTTCATCCTGATCATTTATGTATACATTTGTCTATATCTATCTCGATTCGTTTTGCCTGTTACAAACAACCGTTATGTGAACAAAGTTATAATACCCTTGTGCACAAGTGCGCTCGGGTATAAAAATACTCATTGGTGTTGTGAGAGTGTGTATGTAGGACATACTACATTGGAGTTTCTGCATTAATTAACTGTCAATTTTCCTTTCAACACAAATAAGTGGTTTTGTTCAGAGAATGTTATTCATTTGAAATTCTATTTAGAGATCTACCATACATATTTTTTCATTTAAATTCGAAACGATATAAAAGCCGTCGATTGGTGGTTGCATGCATATTATTTTTTAATGTCACTCGATTTTACTGTTTTACAATGAATTCCATATTCCTCAATTTGGCTGGTGTAATTGAACTACACAAATCGGATATTTAATCTGATATTCGATGGTTAAATCAGAATCGAAGGCAAAAATAAAATAAAAAGAAAGTTAATAAATAACTTTTATATATTCTTCCAGACACAAGGTTTTCCTATCATTATATGTATAAAAAAAATAATAATAAATAAATTTAATTAAGTAAATGTACAGAACTTAATGCTATTTCTCCTTCTCTGTTGCCTTTGGCTGTACTGAATTTTTAATTTTTTGTATTATGTCATTGTTGCAGAAAATGTGTGATATGTGTCTGAATATTTGAAAGTGGTCTAAGTAATTTCACAGCTTTGATGATTAAACGATTCCTGATCTCAACGCGTCGAATTTACGTTCAACTTCTTCAAAAAGTATAAAAAAGCTCAGTTCGTGTAGTCTCCACGCGCGGAAGAAGTGAAACTTAATAGAAGAAACGCTAGAAAGAAAGAAATGTGCGATGTACATACACATGTACATATTTTCTAATGTACAAAAAACATATTCATTTAAAATTTTTTTAACGACCTTTAATTTTTAATTTTTTATAACCAACTGCAAAGTTTAATTATTATGTGTGCCTGAGAAAACATCCATATCTACAATATTAATTATCTAGCAGATTGTGGTAACTTATGTAAGATATGAAATGTTTTATTTCAATATTATTAATAATTCTGGAAAACACCGCATCAATGGTAGCCGCACCTTTGGTTTTTGGATCATTTCTACCATTAACCATTTCCGGTGAAAATTTTTCATTAAAAAATTTTGTCAGCTCATCAAATTTTTCCTGCGAAAAGTTGAC